CCCCCCTTGTTATTGGTACGGTTCCAGCATGACAACTCGCAAGATTTTCAAGGTCATTGCATTTTCGTAAAATCCTAATGAAACTGTAAACTGAATGACTCATGTAAGAATTGTTTAAAATTCAAAAAAGTAAAGGAATAAAAATCCATGTTGTTTTTTATAAGCTCAATGAAGTTTTTTTGCAGACAAGACGATGTTACCGACCACCGTCGGATGATATGCGCGTTGGCTGCTACGCAGTTTGGGATATGAAAACAGAATCCCTCGTGCAAGATTGCTGGGTGCAACAGGCGGTAAGCTTACCTATCTACATTTCTAGCAGTTAACAGCTTACCTATCTACATTTCTATCACATGCATATACGGTTACTTTTATGAATAGTAACGGTTCTGGAAGCTATAACAGTACAAATTCCCAAGCGATAGCTTCTAAGCGTAAAGCGAAACGCATCGTTTCATTAAAGCAGTACTGCAGCTTCATGTCATCTATGATGTGTCGTCATTCCATGGCTTCTTTCATGTTCTCAAAATTCGCGTACTCTTCCAACTTGTCCGAGATAAACGTAACTGCCAGTTTCCAAATAATGGAACAAAATTTAAAAGTGTCACTTTTTCGCCGGTGCTACATTATTGTTCGTAACAAATTGTGTGAAGGCTTTCCATTCTGCTTTTCTTGCTTCTGCTTCCGTCCCTCGTCAAATTGTTACCACCTATACTTTAATCGCAGATGACTGTGCACGATCGATTGTCGAACTTCATTTAAAACTGAGAGCAGTAGGCGACCTTAAGCTGCTTGAGCGCTTGCCATTACATTCGAAACACTTTCCTTTGCCTTGGTATAGAGTTCATTTAACAGAATCTACAGTGATTATTGGTTTCCTGTTTGGAGAGGTATCATTTTGAGAAAAAAAGCATATGAATTACTTCGACGTCGATGACGACAGTCCTTTTTTAGTCTCGGCGGGTTTGTGCTCTTCTGTATGATGATTTGTAGCGCTTAGCAGCATCCGGATTCCAATACCCTCTTGCGTCACTGCTATTTTACTTCTGCGCGTGTTCGGTAAAGAAGTTTTGATGAATCGGATGCACGCGTGATCGAACTCCTGTTTCGTGAGAGCTTCTCTAAAACGTTTTACCGCACTGAGGTGAAAGCTGCGAAAGGAGCATTGTATTTTTTTGCATGATTCTTTCGTCAGCTTTGTTACAGCGGAAATCTATTCCTGCTCTTCCTGAAATATTATTTCAAAAAAA